ACAGCACTGATGCACTAGAGACATAGTTATTACTTAACGTGACCAGTTTGTCCATCATAGGCCTGGCTCAGGCAATACTTGTTAACTACAACGATATAGAGTTTTATAGCCAAAATTAGACAAGTATTTTTCCTACAAAATCAACCAGTAATACAGTTGACGGTATCTTTAGCTAACTAATGAATAAGGGGCAGTACTGCTCGTTCAACCAGCTTCCTTCTAGACATTTGGAAAGGAACAAAAGACTTTGTATGAGTTTGCATTAACTTAACAAGTTTCTCAATAATGAAACATATCTTATAACTTATACATCATTTGAAACACTGCATGCTTTTATAGATCTTTGTAATATATAAGATCTGCATCTGCTGCACACAAAGAGCCAAGGTGAGCAAGTTAACAATCTAGGCCACAAGACACCACTATTACCCTAGCAACTCCAATTTGGCTGCTGCTTAAGGCTGGAAAAGGGGGTGACATGCACAAATGTACAAATTATTACCCCCTATGATTGCCGAACCACTTTTTATATGCACAAATGTACAAATTATTACCCCCTATGATTGCTTGTTCAGTATCACAATCAGCTTTCAATATTAAGATTTAGAAATTTATATGATGTTAATTGTGTATACATCATCTAGCTTTAATCAGTCATACTTATATAGTTATATTCATGTTTATTATGAAAACTGACAACAGAAAATTGGAAACTATGTTATTTTTAAGTTTCAAAAAACCGAAAGCAATAACAAATAGACCTTCATGGGATTAAAGCTCTTTGAAATTTTATCTATAATTTCTTTCCCAAAACCCCACTTATGGGATTAAGGCTTTGATTGATTGATTGAATTTTTTTTCCCAAAACAAGCATGCTCCTGCTGTGACCTTAAATGCTAAATAAGGCCACAAACTTTCTGCAGGTTAGAGATACACCATCGTATATAGCCTTACTATACAAAAGATACAATGTCGTTAACTGTATTTTCTCCCTTTCACTTTATATACAAAGATAGCATCAGGGTGAAACAGCCTAGGCAAATATAGCTCTATCCCAAATTCCTAGACAATAGCAAGAAAATCAAACTTTTCCAATACTCTCATTGTAATAGACAACTTTCAGGCAACAATCTACTAAATTTACAAACAAGCTAAAGAATTAAGATTTCGACAAATGAGCATGACCATGATCAATCAATTAATATTTCAAAAATAATCAATTACAGAGTATATTCCTTCAAACAAAACCAATTATACCCCAGAAACATAAATCACCAAACAGAAAAACCCCAATCCACAAAAATCATCAAAAAAATCACCTTGTAAGAAATCGTACCAGCAAGAGCATCAAGATCCTCCAACATTTTACCCCATCTTTCTTGCTTGATCAAGTACATTTTCGTCACTATCATTCACTGATACTGTCGGGACACAATTCATCAAGATGCTGTATTTGAGCAAACCTATAAAACCTCTCATTAAAAAGAACCTGAGGATCTTTCTGAATCAAATTCCCATTCTCATCATACCCATCTTTTAAGAAAACAACCCAATTCATCTCAGTACCAGCTAAATAAAACGTCCTAGGCTGCTTCTTAAGCATCTGATAAGTATGCTTAGTAAGACTAAACTCCTCCTTAAACTCCACTATATGATGAATTGAAGCCTTCTTCTCCAAAGTCAAGCTCAAAAACTCATGTATAACCCCAACCCTATACTTCTCAGCCTCCAAACTCGAAAGCTCGTGCTTCCACCCATCAGAATACGGCGAAACCAAAGGCAAAGTATTCAACAAGTTCAACCTCCTCACATCATCATCCTCCAAGTCCAATTCCTTCCCATGTTTCACAGGAAATTTAAATGCCTTCTTCACCTTCTCCTCATCAACCATAAACTCCCTCTCTAACGCGGTCACAGCCAATGCCGGATCCCACCTCACTAACTCGAGCATTTTACTACCATCCTCCCCAATTAAGACACGGAAATCATCGGAAAATTTCAAAACCCAATCCCTAAAATCCTCAGGAACACCAAATCTTACTCAACGCCATTTTCTTATCTTTCGACATCATTAGAATCTTCTTAACAACTTTTAACCTCTCTAACTCCATACTCTCCATAATTTCAACCTCCTCCTGCAATAAATTCTCCATAAACCCAGTAAAACCTAACCACATTCTACTATTTTCGTGACGGTAAATTTTGAAAATAAGTGGGTGATTAGCGACAAACTTGTTAACCTTTCTTCCCCGGGGAAAACCCAGTTCCCGGTAAATTTTTCTGGCGTCATCTAATCGGAGAACATGCTCGGGTTGTTTCGCGAGAAATTGTCTCGATCGGGTAAGAAATCGGAAGAAATTATCGCGATTGACGAGATTTTCGAAGTGGGTGATTAAGGAAGAAGAGTGTTGAACAAGGGTATTTCTCGAACTGGGTTTTTGGCGTTTTTTCTTGAATTTTTTTGGGGTTTTTGTGATTAAAAAGGAGGTAGAAAATAGGGATGTTTGGGGGAGAGAGAAAATGGGGTTTTTGGAGAGATAGTAGGGTTTAAGGGAGTGTTTGGTTATGGTGGTGAAGAGGTAGTGTAAAGCCATTAATGGGGTTTTGGAGAAGATGATCAGGAATTTGGGGTTTAAGAGGGGAAGTAGAGAGAGGGAAGGGGAGAAAGGGAAAAAAATGAATTGAAAAAAAAAAAAAAAAAATCCGACCTGCCGGAATCGAACCAGCGACCTAAAGATTATCTGCAACTACTACAGTCTTCCGCTCTGCCAACTGAGCTAAGGTCGGATGTTGATCAAGTGGTAATTCAAAATTCTGATGATTCTAGAGCTGCTTTCAAGTAATAAACCCAATTTGTTGTCGTACATGTTTAATTAAAACTAGGCAATGATGCTAATGTAGGATTTAAGCTTAGACACTAAGGGGTTGTTTAGTATAAACACCATAAATGGAATGGAAAGGATTTAAATAGATAGGGAAAAGGGTAATAATAAACGATCCGACCGTAAGGAAATGATATGTGTTTGGTATTTTAAATGGAAACAATTTGAGTAGATTGTGATTGAGTAAGTAAACATATTTTGTTTGCACTACTTTGTCAAGGGAAACGTCCTCAATTTTTCGCCCCATTGCAAAAATGCGTTTCCATGAAAACTAGTTTGTCAAGGGAAACCTATGGTGCGGTGTGGTATTACTAGGGAAACGTATGGTGTGGTATGGTGTGATTGAGTAAGGAAATGGCCTCAATTTTTCACCCCATTATGGGCCAAACTTTAAAATCTTTGACCATAAAATACCATTAATTCATATACAAGATATGATATAGTCATGTAGAATTTTTTCACATATGAAATTGGAGATAAAATCGTTTTAACACACGTCTTAAAGACCGTGAAAAGTCTAATGGACCAAAATATTAGGGATAGAGGTAAAGATGGCTCTGGACCGTACCGGGTCGTGCCTCGTGCCAGACCCACGTGCTTTGGGGTTAGTTAGGCCCATGAGTTTGTACCGTGCAGTGTCGGGCCAAAGTTTTCAAAAGGTTGGCCTGTGCACGGCCTAGGCCCACGTGCCATCGTGCCGGGCTTGTGTGCCTAAGCAAAATTGCACTGATTTTAGCATGTTTTGTCGTGCCGGGCCCGGCCGTGCCGTGCCTTATCGTGCTTCTCCCAAATAAAGGAAGCCCAGACCCGACCCACATGTACAATACCGTGCCGTGCTTTTTTCGTGCTGGGCCGTGCCGGGCTTCGGGCCAGGCCAACTTGGCTAGTGCCATCTTTAGATAGAGGGAGTAGCAACTACAGATATTGATTTTCAAAGGTTTACCAATTAGGACCAAAATGTTTATATGGGTCGTATTTATACTTTGAGCTTCAACTTTGTTGTTCATTTAGAGTACAGAGTACTAAATAAGAATGTACTTAATACCTAAGATTATTTATAAGATCATTACTAATAGAAAGCATTGACTCTTTGAGGACAGTAGGTCAAGGAAAACCTTTAGGTACATTTCATATCACCAATTAATCCTTGACAACGTTTACACTTTAATTCAAACTCTAAAGAGATACTAACGTATTGCTTGGATTAGAGGAAATGGAGAGAAGGGAAAGGGAGCGGAGCAAGCTCCCTTGTGTGTGTAAGAGGATGAATGGATAAAGTGGAGGGAGACTGAAGGATCCATTTTCCATTCGTCTTTAATAAACATATTCATATTGAATAAACATCATCCCTTTAATATCAAAAAGATTTAGAAGAGTAAAAGAGCTTTGCCTTTTCCTATTCCTTGCCTTTCTTTCCCCACCCCTTCCTCCTCTTTCATTACTACTTCGTAATTTGTTATCCAATTAAGGCCATGCTTGGATTGGGGGTAATATATTAGGGGGGTAATAAAAGTCAAACTTGAAAAAACATAAGTAATTAGAGGGGTTGTTGTAGGAGACAAGGTGTTTACAAATGAAATAAAGTAATTGTGCCACAAGGAAAAGAGAGAGATGGAGGAATTATTATCCTCATAATGAGGGTAATAGTTCCTCTTTTTTCACCTCATACCACACCATCACTATATAATTTTCCTTACGACCACACCATCACTATCTCCTCCTTCCCTATATTCACTTTTATTTTGCTTAGTTTGACTTTTATTATCCTAATAATACATCTCCCTCAATCCAAGCATGCCATATATATGCTTCGAGATAGTGCAATACATACATTATCAATTTCAATGGTAGGATTAATTCGTTACGCATTCATATTGCATAGATGACTACACTTCTAGTGGTGCCAAAGCCTTTTCTGTTCATTTGTAATCTGCATGAAGAGGTCTCTCTTCTGCTGATGACTACAACAAACACAAATTTTGTTGGCAGTCAACAATGTAAGGATGTCATACAAAGTAGACGAAGGGAAATAAGAATGCCGTGTAACTGAAAGCCTGTAACAAAATTAGTAGTTTCAATCTTGGCAACTTAATCTTTTCCTAATTACTAGCCAAAATGTAAAAAAAATTGCGTTGTATTTCGATTCAAATATTTATACAAACTTCAATTTGAATTTGGACTTGTGTTAATATTATTACAAAGGTTGCTTTCATAATTTCAATCATTGTCCTCTCTGCCATCAGAAGCCGCGACAGAGAGGGGAAAGAATCTACTGAGCATTACAGAACGAATAAAACAATTACTGTACTATTTTTGTTTTTGCCCTCGTACAATGATTGTATGTTCTTCCCATTTATCAAGACAGATGACCTTACATTACCTGCACTAATCTCTCCAGTCAGCAACAGCAGAAGGGGTCAGAAGAATTAAGCTATCAAGCCAGGTGATTCACTAAGTCACTAACATTGCTAATTGTCGTGTTGGTGTTCTGCGTCCATACGCTCAACCACCCTCCTTGCCTCCTCCTCTGTCTCAGGGAAAACACTTCTTATCTTCAGCCCATTTGTTCTGGCCTCTGGACGGACAGTGAAGGTAAAGTAGAACTTATTTGAAACCTGTTGGAAATAGGAAAAGAAAAGTATCAAAAAACTTCCTCCCTGAATTTTGACTGAATAATTAAAATAATGTGTTGCAAATGAATCTAGTTGAAATATGATTTTAGGGAGTTTTGTGTCAAGAAATAATTGAATACTGACCTCACTGATTCTAAGCTCAGGACATGTAACATGAGCAACAACTTCCACATTGATAAGTGGCCGAGCTGGGTTCTGAAGTTCGGTATAGAGCACACAGGACTTCATACGAAGAAAATTACCAACATCCACCTGCGCAGAGAAATGCCACAATCTAATATGATGACTATAACGTTTTAGATGCAAAAATATAGACTGTCTTGGTAGTCATGTGATGCTGATCTCAAACGTAAGATTTGGACACTTGAGAGACTGATGGGATGTCCAAGTTTCAACCTTGGGATTTAAAAGTGTTCCAAAGAGGTATTTACCAAGCAGAGGGCAATGCAACGACTGATGTATACTTGATGGAAGTTTCGGAAAGTTATAAAAAAATACTAATCTTAACACAAACCCCTCAGCTCACTCAGAGTTCTAGCACAGCAGCAAAGAATGTATCAAACCTTCCTAAGGTTTCTTCATATCATACCTGATAAATTTATTCATTATGACAAAATTGTTCAATGAATACGACTTATAAACTGTAATAGAACCTAATATCAATCTTCCAATTTCTGAAATCATCTCCATACTAACCTTTCTATACTTCACTTCAGCCACAGATAGTAGAACAAAATCCCTTCCAGACAGAACCAATAACCAAAATGAATACTTGTCGATTCATTTAATCTCTAAATGATAAGAGTAACAAGCAACCCTTACTCAATTTTTTTATATCAAGCTATTAGCCATGATAGGATATCAAAGAAATAGAAATAATGTGTAATGGACTAATGGTCATCACTTACCGGTTTCACAAAGTCAACATGATCAACTTCTACAAAACGAGGTGAGGCTCCAGCAAAGGTATATGCTGTTGAAAAGGCAAGCTCAGATGCTTTGCGCATTAGATAACCACCAAAGATACGACCATGAACATTTCGCTGCTGTGGCTGACAAATCATGGAGCTCTGTTGGCAAGTATCTCTTATAAGAATGCTGTCCCTATCAGCTAGAGCTGGCAAATCAACAAATACTCGTCCTTCAGCCAACAGCTTATCAATCCTGCTCACATCCTTGTCTTTTTCTTTATTCTGTTCAGCCCTCTTCATTTTTCGCATCTTGTTCCTTGCTTCTGCTTGCTCCCACAGCAATTTTTCTTGTGTTGTTTCTGGTGAGATGTGATTAATTGGAGATGATTTTCCAGTCTCACTATCCCGTGCAACAAATGTGAAATTAGCTACAAGAGCCACTGAATTTGACATCTGGGAACCATCTACAAAAGAAGAAATTATTGTTGGGAAAGAGTGAAGATAAAATACTACAGATTATTCATACTTCATAGCCCAATTAATCAGTCAAAAAGGTGGTTAGTTTTCAATAAATACCACAATCAACAATTCTCCTTTCTATTACTAAGATTGATGACTACATCTGACTATTTTCTTTAATGGTTTATCAGAAACCGTCTTCTTGGTTTGTCCAGACAAGATTACATGCATCAGTGCATCGAAGCTTACTATACGCTACTCCTCTCACCCCCCCCCCCTCCCCTGGTCCCGTTTTGTTTGCCTTGATTTACAGGTGATCTCACCAATTTTCTATCTCATCAAATCCATCCACCCATAAATAAAATAACAAAGCCTTTAAAAGGCAAACAAAAAGGGACAGAAGAAGAACATCACTGGAGAGATATTTCTGATAATTAACTTTACTAGCTGTTGTGAGATACTTTAGTTATACCAACCTCTAATACGAAGATAGTTTATTCATAATCACTCAAGATGTCAGCCTACTGAAATCATAGCAAACAAATTACCTTGTGGTGGTTGCAACACTTCAAGCTGCATCTCCATGGATGACCTCCCAACCCATGTAACAGCACCAACTAGACTCAGGTCCGCATCAACGCGAATCGGCTTCTTGAGAAGAATCTTATCTACAGAAGCAGTCACCAAAAGTATCGGCCTTGTCATTCCACCAGGGTTGGAGCAGTGCTGGAAAACATCAAACAGAAAACTATGATACTGTTACTCAGCCAGCAATGAAAATATATAATCCTCAGAACAGGTTATTCTAAAATAATGTTTGAAGAGTAATAGTTCAAATGCTGGAAATAAAATAGGTACAGCACTGATGCACTACAAATATAGTTATTTTTAAACAGTGACCAGATTTTCCATCATAGACCTGGCGCAAGACTTATTTCTACAATGACATAGAGTTTTTGACGTAGGGAGAATAGCCGCTCGGTTCGATGAAGAAGTTTAGCGTCGGAAGGCTTGATTTCAGTTTGTAGTGGTCATGATTTCTACTAGTTGGGCTCCCGGAGTCAGATTGCTTAATAAAATATATTTTCGGAAACGGAAACGGGCCAATGAGTCCAATTAACGGCTATGCCGTGTGCGACAGGCTTTTTAAGCCATCCGAATTTGGTAATAGCGTTTAATCATTTTCCGGATTTTAATTTTTGCTTAAGTTTCGTATTAGGGCTTTGTTTAGACTATTTAAACGTTTTAGCCGTCATTAGTATGCAGTTTTGACATATTAATAATATTCTTGAGAGTTTTACTCTTTTCTGGTGGATTCTGGAGCTTTTACAGATTTATCGCTTGTAAATCTGTTTGTTCGTATTAGGAATTGCGATTGCTTTTCCTCCATTAATTCCGACTGCGTCAGTTTTATAGCTAAAATTAGATGAGTATTTTCCCTACAAACTCAACCAGTAATACAGTTGACAGTATCTTTAGCTAAGTAATGAACAAGGGGCAGTACAGATTGTTCAACCAGCTTCCTTCTAGACATTTGGAGAGGACAGAAGACTTTCTATGAGTTCGCATTAACTTAACGAATTTCTCAATTACGAAACATATCTTATAACTTGTACACCTTTTGAAACACTGCATACTTCTAATATTGTCTCGTATAATTTTTTAATGCTAAAAAAGCCCCCCAAACATTCTGCAGGGTAGAGATACATCATCGTACACAGCCTTACTATACCATATAATATTACCTTGGACATTGTAAGAGACTATAAGAGAGCATAATGTTTACTGTATTTCCTCCCATTCACTTCAAATGCAAAGATATCATCAAGGTGAAATAGCCTAGAAATAGTTATCAATTTAAGTAAATATAGCTCTATCCCAAAATTCCTAGACAAAGAGCAAAAAAAAAAATCACACTTTTGCAATACTCAACTCTAATAGACAAATTTCAAGCAACAATTTACTAAATAAACGTAGTAGATACACAAACAAGGTACAGAATTAAGATTTTAACAAATGAGCATGATCAATCAATTAATGTTTCAAATATAATCAATTATAATCCTTCAAACAAAACCAATTGTACCCAAAAACATAAATCACCAAACAAAAAAACCCCAATTCACAAAAATCATAAAAAAAATAAAATAAAATAAAAAAATAAAATCAAATAAAATCAAATACATCAAAAAAATTCACCTTGTAAGAAATCGTACCAGCAAGAGCATCAAGATCCTCCAACAATTTACCCATCCTAATTTCATTCCATGGATTTCTATACTGTTCTCTCAGCACATAATCCGATGAAAATTTATACTCAACACAAGTTCTACTTTGAGATGGGGTTTTAGACACCAATTCATCTTGTAATTTTCTCTCTCCTGCAACCTCAAATACACCATTTTCCAGAAATTTTGATCTTGCTTCCCACAATGCGTTTGTGACTGGGGAATGGTAAACCCCAGGCCACAAACTTACCGGTTTACGAATCGAAGAACCTGCATCAATTGGTTCGTCTTTGGGATTATTTGTGTTAATTGGGTTTGATTTTGTGGTTGAAAATGGTGTGATTTGAGTGAGTTTATGTGTGATTTGATGATCATTTGATGTGGGTTTTGATTGGATTGATGGAAATTTTAGGTGGAATTTGGATATTCTGGGAAGTTTGGAGGAGGATTTGATGAGATGATTCATGGTGTAAAAATAGAGTTTGGTATGGAGGACAACACGAAGATCATCCAATTCTTTGAGACGAGATTTTTTTGAATGTACTGTCTATATAAAGCGTATTCCGCTAGTCCCACATAGCTTAGCTCCAACTACATTCAGATTCGACTCGGGTTGCACATCTTGGCTTATGATGGGTGAGTTTTCCAACAAGAGTTTTATGCATTCGGTGAAACTCGAACTCGAGACCTCCTTAAGGATTATCAAGCTGCTTATCACTCGAGACAACTCTTGTTGGTTATAAAGCATATTCCATAAGAAGTACTCCTTCAAATTCTTAGATAATGTGAATTGCTAAATCATGCCCATTTTTACCTGATAACACTCGTATTTTAGTTTGAATGGATGAACCTATTCTCACATGTATCCATGCATTTCACCTCTTTAACTCACTCATGTACATTCTCGATCTTCTCCCAATAAACTATCACCGGCAAGGCAGGGCAATTGCTGACAATATAATAAAGTCGTGTTTTTTTTGGATCGACTCGAGAAATGCCCGGAATAGGCGTTTTCACCTTGTAATTTACGAAAATCCACGTCTGGGATTTAACCTTCAAAACTGACTCTTTAGACATCATATTGTAGGTTTCTCTTCAATTTCTTTCGTAAAATTTTGAAAAATTGTCACTGTAATATACAATTATTTGTTTTCTAATTGATGTGTTGTTATTTTTCCCTAAACTTGCATATACTCCAAAAAAATAATTGAACTGTTGTACAGGCTGAACTCGTGACATATATATTAGGATCGATAAATGCGTAATACAGAGACAATTTAATTAATCTTCACGATAACATAACATCTATTTCTTACATGATTACATTGAATTCCACTCAAACTTATAAACGAAAGAAATTTGATATTTATGAATGACTCCAAGTGGCATCCACAAGAATCATAATCACCTACCACTTCCCAAAGAAGTGAGCAAGCGTGAGTCGTATGAATTAGAATCAACACCACTGCTACAACCACCATGGTCGTCTGACCTAGGAATTCCCACGAGCGAAAATTCACAATCTTCTTGAATTGAACCATCATTATTCCAAGGATGGGATCCCTTTCTTTTTATAGTCTCCAATTCCATTGCAACTTCTTTCATGGTAGGCCTCTCCTCTCCTTTTAACATCAAGCACCATTTAGCTAGATTAGCCATTTGTTGTATTTCTTCAATAGTTTTCTCGCTCACTATGTTTATGTCAAGAATGTCCAACAAACGGCCTTCTTTTATCTTGAGGAGGAAGTGCATAGTGAGAAATTTCTCAGCTTCGGGCCTAGCATTAGAAATTGCCTTTTCCCTTGTCAATAGCTCCAGCAAAACAACACCAAAACTATAAACATCACTCTTTTCAGTTAGCTCACCCGTCTGCATATATTCGGGATCCAAATACCCTCGAGTTCCAAGCACCATCGTAGCAAATTGGCTTTCATCGGGTGGAATCAATCTTGAAGCTCCAAAGTCGGTTACCTTAGCAGTGTAGCTTTCATCCAAGAGTATGTTCATCGATTTCATATCTCTATGAATTATTGGTGTTGAGATGGTGGTGTGTAGATATGATAGCACATTGGCAACTTCGGATGCTATATTTAAGCGCACATGCCATTTCATTACGGAAGCTCTAGCTTCATCATGTAAGTGGTCATATAACGTCCCATTGTTGATGAACTCGTACACCAATAGTGGTACTTCACTCTCAAGACAACAACCTAGTAACTTGACAACATTTCTGTTGTTGATTTGTGATAGAACTAGAACTTCATTGATGAATTGTTCTATTTGGTTTGGATCCACCTTGAGAGATTTTTTTATTGCCACAACTTGGTTATTTGGCAAAATGCCCTTGTAAACAACTCCAAAACCTCCTCTTCCAATTATGTTTTCGTCACTATAATTGTTGCAGGCAGCTTCAAGATCTTGTATAGTAAAGATTTTTAATGTATCAACGTGCCGCCCGAAAAGTTTTTCATGTAAAAGCAAACCACCATTTTGTCGAAAAAAAACTTTCTCGTGTTTTTCTAATTTGTGTTTCCTCTCTTTTAAAGTGCAGGAGAAACACAAAAAGGAGCAAAGCTATGATGCCAACACCAACACCTACAATATACAAAAATGCCACTAATTATATTAGAAGTATGCAACTAACTTTGAGATACAATGCATGGACTTTTTGTCTATTTTAATTGTTGTGTATACTCTATATATATAGTGGGTTCAATCCAATATAATGCACCCTTCTTTGTACAGTTACTCAGTTAGCAAAATCCCGAATTCAAAAGACCTCCAACATCATATATATGTACAAGACTACCACCAGTACAATGATGCAATTCAAGGCTGTCTCAAATAATAATGAGAGCCCCAGTACAATTTATAAAAATTAGGCCCTTGTCAAATTTCAATAACAATTATCTAAAAAATATACATAAAAACACCCTACTTTTATTTTTGTCATAATTCAAAAGTTAGAAATTTGACTCACAATTTTTAAAATAATAAATAAAGAATTAATAATTAGTCGCCACAAATTCAAAGTGAATTAAAAAAAAACAAGAAAAACTAAAATCCTTCCAATTTGAACGATCTACATAAAAATAAAAACTACAGTACAAAATAGTGTCTATATCATTCCTAGGGACAATTTATAATACTCCTAAAACAGATTAACATAACAAATTTATAAGTTTGAATAGTAAAGTAGTCAAGTAACGCATCCCAAAATAACATAGTTGCCTGACTTGCCTCATACTGAAGGCCATGTTACATCCTCAAAGTTTCAAACTAGCCAGGGCGCTAAATTGACATGTGATAATCGTTCGAAGGAGGCTAATTTAATAGACTCGAGGCAAAGAAAGAAAACTATCGTAAGAGTATCACTTAGCTTATGTGCTTAACAAAGATAGTATTAAAAGTCGTAGTTAAAAAAATAAAAGAAAGACAACAAATTTAAGATAGAAATCTGTATGAGCAGTTATAATTTGATCCTTACCGCCAGTAGCCAAAACCGGTATGAGCCAAGGCTTTGTATTAGAAATGCAACGATCGTCTTTCGTTCCATTTCCGTGGTATCCCCTTGGACATTTGCAATAGTAGCTTCCATTTGTGTTGATACAATACTCTGCTTTCTCACAATTGTTCGCTCCCTTGCACTCGTCAATATCTAATCAAGATCAATAACATCGACCATAAAATCTTAAGCAACATTTGCTAAGTAGATAAAGTAAATAATTAAATAAAAAAAAATGGTGAATCGACAATTATATACCTGTGCATCCACGAGGATGGTAAGGGTTGCCAGAATAACCATCTGTGCAGTTGCAACGATACCCAATTTCATGAACCGGATCATAACAAACTGTGTTTTCTTTACACAAGCAACTCCCTTCTTTTTTCGCCACAGAACAACTGTTTTGTCCAATAGTCCAATTGAATACTACGGGAAGCTGCAAGGATTCCCAGTACTCCATAGGTAGACTTAAATTTTGTTGGTAAAATGTAAAAGCATCTTTTGCCACCGGAAATGCAGCATTGCACGGGTTAAAAGTATTTACAGACCTATGGTTGTCAAAGCTGTCTAATGACACTTGAACGTTGTTTATTCCACCGGGTATGGAGGCCTGACAGCACCCGACACCGGAACATTCACCATCGATCACGTCTTCTAGCTCCACGCAAGCAGTCATGCATCCCGTCTTGTATTTCTTGTCACCTCGATAACCCTTAAACCAGGCATAGGTGTCACACCCTATAGCAACTAATATGTTTTTTGTGCTTGACAGGGTAAATGTTATCAAGTTGAACGAGCTCCCCCAGTATGCAGTATTGTTACCCTTGTTGTAACAATCGTAAGAAACACCAACTTCTGTGCGGAGTTCTCCCTCTATCAATGAAATGTTTAAAACCTCGTAATCTGTACCAAAGATTGGTGTAGGAGGGCTCGTACTATAATTACATGTGATTTTGAAGGATGATGATTTTTCATTATGTGGTGGTTTATAATAACAACCTTCTTCAATACCAAAGGGGTAAGGAATGCTCAAATTTCCACACTTATCTGAACAGTGTGGGGCGATTACGAGGGGTGACACTACTTTGTCGCCGGTGATTAGTGGTGTCAACACCCAACACAGGCAAATTGTTAGTAGAAGAGCATAACTTGAATAAGTAGTCATGCCTATAAGAGTAGTCCTGAAGCTGGTTTAAAATTCTAAGGGCTAGAAAGGAGATAATTTGGTGTAAAAGTTTTTCAATAATTTGGCCAAGAATTTCATTGAACAAAAAACTGAGAGAGATATCCTTTATAAAGGAAAAGTCTACTAATGGGCTTAACAATCAAGGAAAAGTCTTCTCGTGAAAATCAATGTGCAAAAAAAAAAAAAAAAAAAAAAAAAAAAAAAAAAAAACTCGCTTTGGACAAAAACGTACACATTAAGATTGAGATATTTAAATTATTTAAGATTTTTTTTTTTTTTTTTACTCCTTCCATTTGTTGTGTTGCAATTACATATGGTGTAACAAAATTAAAGTTTTATAATAAAATTTATTCATTAGTCTCAATGCAATGTATTACTCCTTATCTAAATATTCTATTTCTGTAATTTTTTTTAAACACGTACTAGTATCATACATACTATCATGTATTTTATACCTATTAAAATTTGCATTGAAAATTGCAAAAATTATACTGTACAAAAATGAAAAAATTACTGCCGGATATCTAGCTCTTATAAAGGATGAATTTGCTAAGGAACAAATAACTCGGGTTTTTAAGTTATTGCAAATAAAGAAAACTTTTCAAATATAATTATTGAAAAATTTCATTACTAAAAGTACAAATTATTTATTAAAAATATTAAATCTTTAATTAACTATGACATGAACAAAAAAACTGATAGACGACTAGTTTATTTATTTGGGATACAAATAATTTGTTTATTTTATTTGCTACATTACCTTTTGCATTCATAATTTAAATTTTCAATGTTAAGTCCAAATTAATTTCAAAAATTATTCCTTCATATTTAATAAAAATGAATATCAAATTTATATATATTGGTTTGAAAATGGAGCATCGTTTGGGGATTAACTAGTTAGTAAATAAGATAAGATT